AATAGTTTTCATATGATCACACGAGCATTTTATTTATATATTTCAGATTTGTTAGAATTATCAGTTAGAATTTGAAAAGTCTCTGAATGAACTTTCTAATTAACAAAATTACTCATGAATTAAACAATTGCCCAAGTAAAGTGAAAAGTGTCTTCTTCACATGTAAAATCATTTGAGACATATTTTTTTATAAATTGAATAGAAGAGAAGAAACGGGGAATATTACAAATTTGCTTTATTGAAAAAATTGAGACTTTTCAGTATACTAAAAGAAATTAATAAAAGTGTACTAAAGAAATTAGTATACAATTATATATACAAATAGCTGTCTCAAAAATTTAGACATTATAATAAATTGTATTTAATAGTTTTGTAGCCTTCTTTGCGAAGAACGAACAAAATATACTATTAGTAAAATCACGAAAAATGAATATTCCACGTTTCTTCTCTTTACTCTTCAATTTCACATAAATTCACACAAGAGAATTACATATTCTGATTCAGTTTAGTTTAATATCAGAGTGATGAAGCTTCATATTTTTATATGAAGTTTCTCTGATATCTAAAGCAATTTTCCACCGAGGTTCTATATTTTTAAATGCTTTAAAAATTCTTTGAATTCTTTGATCTAAATTCATCCTTAAAAATACGAATTTAAATAAAAATTCGCAGTCTACTAATAACATGTTTTCTATGTTTTAAAAAAGAAAAGCCTTGTTTCGTTCAATATATTCGGAGAACTAACACGAATTATTGTAAGTTGCAAGGGAGATTTAAATAATTAATTGTCCATAAAAGTTATTCTCCCGTGCATTGGAATTTATATAGATGACCAGCGTGGTTTCTAGGGGATTCATATACACTAATCACATCACTGGCAAAGTTTCGTGGAAGCTTGAAATATTGGAGTGTAATCTAGAACTTGTGACGTTATCGAATTCCCAAATCAACAAACCTATGAATCATTGCACCCCCAAAGTAGCGAATAAGCTAAATTAAATTACAAATTATCGAGAGGTGATATATAGATTATTAATTGCTCGAACTATCGTACACCTAAATTAGCTAGTTAATTACAGACTATCGAATTCCCAAATTAATGAGAGCGTGAGTCACCGAAAAGTCAAAGTTCGAACTTCTAAGTTTACTTCTCATGATCCATGCATCAACGATTGGTTGTTTTAATGGCTCTAAACGTGATATTTTTTTTACTGCATTAATTGTGTTAAAAACTGGTAAGAAATGGTAACGAGTTAAAAGTTAAGTTAAAAAAAAATATATGAATGTTACTATATTATTGGACTTGTAAAATAGCGAATATGCTAAATTAAAAAGTTAATTAATTAATCGAACTACCGTTTACTTAAATTAGATAAATTATAGATTATTCAATTTCCAATTAATCTGTATATACATATATACACATCGTCGATTTTAAAGTGTAAAATATAAATTTTGCTTTTGTCATTTGTACTGAGGATCGATGATGATTCACCTGTAATAGATGAAAAGTTCGATAAGTTCACAATTATCCTGGATGCGTATTTAGATGGCTAATCGACAAATGAATAATTGAAATGCCTTAAAACAAATGGAAGTGATTACACTATAATCAGTGGATTGTTCAGTATCATCAATAATATCATCTCTAAATAAATTAGAAAGTTTTTTTCATGACTAGACCTACCATTGTCTCGAAGATTAAAATTACCTTTGCAACGATCCCTCAAAACTTGCTGTACAATTTTTTTTTTTCATCACTTCATTGAGCTTCAAATAGAACTCAAATGACAAAAATTCAAGAAATCTTGTCATTTGGTCGTCTAACCCTAACATTCAAAGTTCAATAAAAGGGTACGGTAAAACTTAAGGATTTGTTGTAAAGTGGAAATTTCAATCTCCAAGATCATGGTAGATATAATCATGAAAGAAACTTGTTTGGTGTTTTCAGAAATGTTTAAATTCTTACTATTCAAAAAGTTACATCATTTCATTGTTTTAAATCTAATGTTCAAAGCTCAATGAAACGATGGAAGAAGAAAGATCGTTCAGCGAGATTTAAAGACTTCGATCTTCAACATTCATTTAGTCATAAAAAGAAATATTTTCTTCAAATCTTCAAGAATGAAAGTATCCTTACTTTCCCATCTGTTGCACGATGTAAAACTGTCTTTGAAAAGCTCGCAACTGTCAAAGTAGAAGCTATAAAACAAGATCAATTGTTGTACGACTTTTTTTTTACAGAGTTTAAAGTATCGACAATTTATCGGTTCGTTACACGTTGCAGTCGTCAGAACACGCGTCCAAATATTGAATTTTAAAACGCTGACGACTCGGACGACTCGCATAACTTCGGCATTTATAAACGAGAAACACCTTCGCCCGCAATTTAGAGCAACGTGTATCCTTCAACGATCGCGAGCATGTCCGGACACTCGATTATCCAACTCGCTATTCGAACAATTCAGGCTACCAATTATTCGACGATAGTTTATCTAGAAGCATCCAACGACGTTGGAGTCGTTTCAGAAGCAAGATAAGATCGCGTTAGACAATAAGATTGAATACGGTGTGTGTGTGTGTGTGTGTGTGTTCAAAGCTTCCACGACGCTTTTCACGATGCACGTGAAAAGTTCGCGTGGTGCATCGTAATAACGTTCGCTCGCGTTATCATTCGTTGCTATTAAACGTCCTTGGATATTCTTGGTAATCCCCGAGGCCGGATAAAAGACGACTGACTCCCTCTCTTTCTCATCTCTGGCCGGGTCGATCGTTGACTGACACATCCGTTTAGCAGATATCAGGCCATAAATTCGCGGCCGAATGTTCAAAGCCACCCAAGTGAAAAACCAGAGATAATAAAGTCTTAAAAATATCACCGTTGTCCTCGATTGATTCTTTTCTCGGCCGACCGAAATCTCATTGCCATTGAGTATTATAAACCTGTTATAAACGGAGGGAAGAAATGGATTTCAAGGAA